ATATTTTTTGCCCTTCTCTCTCTCCCTCCCTCTCTCTCTTCAGGTGTTGCTGTTTCAGTCACTACTTCTGGTAACTGGATTGGGAACTTTGTGGTTGCTATGGTAACCCCATTACTCCTCGGTTCTATACTAAAGACGGCCGGTACATTCTACATACTGGCAGGGTTTCTCTTTGCCTCATTTTTATTTGTGTTGCTAACACTTCCTGAAACAAAAGGAGAGAGTCTAGAGAGAATTGATGAATTGTTTCTGAGGCCATGGCTACAGAGGATTAACCTATTCTACTATCTGAGGTACATGTACATGTATACACAGCCTGTTTGTTTAAATGCTGATCACACTTATACTGTACTTCTTTACATTATTATGTTTACAAATAGAAGCATTACAAAGTACATGTAGCTGGATTGATTATGGGGCAATGTATTAAAAATGTGCATGTCTGCGTGAATGCATACTGAAATTTATAGGATCTACATGTAATATCTCAATAAAAACAATTCTTAACCTTTATTCTCTGATAGGTGTTGTTGTCCATGGTCTAATGCTTGTAGGGTAAGGACTGCACAAGAAGAGAACACTGTAGCCATTGTTGGTATAAAGAATGAGAACAAAGATGATACGAGTGATGAGGCTGAAGATGAGTGAGTATTTAATTGTATACCCTCTCTTTCTCTTCCTCCTCCCTTCTCTCTGTCTCTCCCCTCCCCCTCTCTTTCTCAATCCCAATACTCTAATCATGTACATGTACTGTTCTTTCTCTCTTCTCTTTACAGTGAGAATGAGTCACTGATAAAAGATACAGATGTTCTTGAGTCTAGTCTGTCAGCTAAATTTGACAAATAATGGATGAAGCAACCTTTGTATCATTTTGTGTACTGACAGTATTGTTAGATTTTTATGATGCAGACAGATTTTATTATTTTGCTATTATTTTTAAAAATTTATACATGCAGCAGGTTGTACAATGTAACACAATAGAACTATCAATGATGTGGGCAAGACTTATAGATCTAACGGTAATGGCAAGGATAACTCTAGATACATCTGTTTGCTCTATGCGGGTGGTATTACTGCAGAGATAAGTACATAGCATATGTAGATAGACTATAAGCTAAAAACCTAGTCTTTTCAACATCACACAAGACATACATAGATCTGTGTGCTCTTGGAGTTCAAGCCTGAACTGCATGGTGCAGTTCAGACCAATACTGATCTATGCTGTTCAGGCTGAGATTCTTGATACATTTATTGACCAGACAACAAATGACGAACAAAATCAACAATACACTGATGCAGAGAAAAAACTTATACAATATGGTATTCATACAAATAAGTGTAAGTACATGGTATAAGTGGCACTGAGTCACACAACACAGTTTTTGGGTACTTTGCAATGAATCGCCACAACCTAAAATAATACAATAACTACCTCAGTAAAATTAATTTCACTAACCATTTCTCCTTTTTTGTAAAAGTAACTCGTTCCCACTTCTTTCTCAGGCTCCACCAAAAGCTTGCAATGATCGTCTTCATCATTCTTATACCAGACTATATCTCCAGCGATGATGGCTGCAGCTCGACGTGCTCCTCTGGTTGTCTCTTGTAGTGGTCTACGAGGAAGAGCTGCCCGCGCTATCAAGTTAGCTCTTGCTTCTCTAAGCCACATCATAAATAACAGCAAAAGCATCATGTCTCAACTATGCGATCAAGGCTTGCTTTAGAGCTATAGCACCACACTGTGTCACACAGTACAAGGAGTGTCAATGGTGTGGCCGCCCACACCATTGACACACTCACTCTATGAATATCATTATAGATGGTCACAACTTCACATGCACAGTACAGTCTGTAATAATTATTATTGGTGAATATCATTATAGATGTTCACAGTACAGTCTGATAATTTATGTGTGGGGTGATGACTGCATGTACATGCGATTATTAAATTTTAGCATTAAACCAAATGACATTTTTCGGCTAAAATTACAAGACAATCCAAAAGGCAGCAAAAAGCAAATTATTGTTCAATCTATTTTTTAATGTAGCAGTAGTTTGACATCCCTAGTATTGCCTGCCAGTGTCAAACATGTGAGGAGTCTATACGAGAAGCTAAGTTATACATATTAGAGTACTGGTATACTCAACTATCTATGCCGGGCTAAGCTAAATACCATAATGGGTACACAGTGTGACAAAATAATGAGTATATTTGTATTAAGAAATCTCTAGTGTCTGTGATAGCATGCATTACATCAGAAGCCCATACTCTCCAGTCCTTCCTCTAAAAATTGTTTATACATTCTCATAAATTTTGCTGTGAAGGCCTCAAGATGAAAGATTGCTTTACTACCCAGTTGTGACTGTGCTTGATACTGAGCTGCTAATTGAGTCACTTCAGCTTTCAGTGTACAATCACAGTTAGCAACCAGCTCATTCAATATCCTCTGTAGAAGGAAAATATTAGAAAAAATATTACAATAATTAATTTTAAATACATGTACATGTATAATTTCCTATTACTCTCACTTTCTTCCAGTAGAAGAAAGATTTCTCTTTCAAAATTTACTAGGAGTCTCTCATTTCCTCTTATCTCTCTCTCCTTCCCTCCCTCCCTCTCCCCTCTCTCTCTTAGTTACTTTAAAAATAATATCAGGTGGTATACAATGAGTTAACAGCTCATAATAATGTCCTCTTACTTCAAGTATCCTCAAAAATAAATAAGATACATTTTTATTAATTTTAATAAAATATTATTTTTTAAAAATATTGCCTTTGTGTTACAGGTATACCTCTTAGGGCTCTGCTCTGTGATGATCATTGCAGCTGTTTCAGAGGCGTCGCTGCCTAAGGGGCAGGTAGGGCAGTTGCCCCACCAATATTTTGAAGATCAGTAGCTAGTGATGGGCGATTCCGAGTCCGGAGTATTCGATTCTTCGATTCCGAATGGAATCATACTCGTATCGAAAGAGAAGTAGGAATCGTTTGAAACGATTCCGAATTAAACCACACCCAACCACACCTTTTAATATTAATAATAGTTTTAAAACCAGTAGTTAATACCTTAATTATTGCTTTAATTGATACCACGTGGCTTTGCGCATGCGCAGATGTAGTCTCGGAATCGGTATTCGATTCCATCGATTCCAGTCTCAGAAGTATTCAGAATCAGAATCGAATGCAAATTTCTGGATTCGCCCATCACTATCAGTAGCCATTTTTAT